TTTTACATTGACAGGTGACTCTCATATCTCTATCCTGTCGATTGGCGTCCATTAATCTATCTTGACAATTGACATTAATGACTCTACTTTGACCACTTACGCTCGTAGCTCTAAGCTGACCATTGACGTCAATGACGTTACATTGACAGTTGACGCCCATATCTCTATCCTGTCGATTGACGTCCATGAATCTATCTTGACAATTGACATTCATGACTCTATTTTGACCACTTACGCTCGTAACTCTAACCTGGCCATTGACATCCATGACCCTACATCTACAGTTGACGCCCATGCCTCTAACTTGATCATTGTTATCCACGCTTGTAATTCAACGAGCCATACTTGTATTGTTCACTGTTATTTAGAAAATTATACTGGTGTGTTATCATAAACATCACAAAACTTGGAAAGCGACAACCTGTGATCATTATCTATATGACAACTTCACTGACATGTCTTTGTCGCAACCATCGGGTATATCTTTTGTCACGATTTAAATGAAATTGCTTATAAGATCGTCCTTATTACAAAAATATACACTCCCTAAAAAATTAACTTCGTCAAAATAACTGGAGCCATTTCCTTATTTCACTTGCTGAAAAGGTTGTGCTTATATCTATTACATTTGATTCTATTTAGTTAGGGCTTTCCCCAAATACCATAGTTGTTGACCTGACGGAGAAAAACCAACACGTCATTTCTTACGATGCAGATTTCAGAAAATGGAAATACTATAATATGGTCGATATCCTCGAAAAATAGTCTGCTGGTATTTTGTAATATGCTAGATGGTTGCGTTGTTACGTTATCCGTCTCTAATTTTGCGAACGTGCGAACGTGCGGTACGTTCGAAGAAGCAGAAGACGCTTGCACTTTCTAAACACAGAATGACCTACATTTTATTTTTTTAAATTTTTTTTTTTTTCACATTTAATCCTCGTTTGACAGATTTTGAGTTTTAATAAGTGTTTTGAGATGACGGTGTTCTCTTGTCGTTCCCGTAAAAACCGTCCTGACAAGTGGAGACACTTTATAGAGCAGGAGCCCACAGGGGTCAGCCTAGCTGGAAAGGCAGCAAAATTTGTTGTGCACAGCAAGGATCTATATACTTGGGCAAACAAAGAAATGAAAGTCTGCCAGTCCCCTGCTGGTGGGTGTGGTCCTCAGGGGCAGGATAATATATGGAAATTTTATGCTAGCTTAGCTTTCATGAGTAACAAAGAAAAACAACTCAATATGTAATAAGCGTGATAAAGTGTATAAGAAATGACCAATGACAGATTTTTTTCGTAGTGGGGTACCCCTGCCAGAGCTAAAAAATGGCCCCAAAAAATCATGCTAGCTCAGCTCATGAGGTAACAACTTAAACCCAGCCTTAAATTTATCAGTGGGGCCCACTTTAACAGAAAAGAGCAGTGGCAGACATTTTCACTGGTGGGGGGTCTGAGCCAGACACCCCAAAGTACCACGCCCTACAGCTGAGCTAGCTCAGTTCATGGGGTAACAACTTAAAACTAGCCTCAAATTTATCAGTAGTGCCCACTTTAACAGAAAAGAGCAGTGACAGACATTTTCACTGGTGGGGGGTCTGAGCCAGACACCCCCAAAATACCACGCCCTACAGCCAAGCTAGGCTCTCAGCTCATAGGGTAACAATTCAAGGATCAACTAAAGTGAACCATTATTTTGGAATTTTTTGGAAAGTGGCAGAAATAAATTTATTCAGTCAGTCAGGCCAAAGTACACAATTTCAGTCCAAATTAAGTAAACCATTCATGTCTGTTTTGTTATAGACCCAGTTTGAATGTATACTGGTTGCTCACATCTGTCAGTTTGGCTACACCGGCATGCCTGATTTCGGGATTTTTCCAAAATAGCGCTTTACTTTAGTTTATCCTTAAAACCAACTTCCTATTTATCAGAAGGGCCCATTTTTTCAGAAATAAGCAGTGGCCTTCTCAACAGAGGACGAGGCAATGGCAATCGTCAGTTATCTTCCAATTTTAATTGGAATTATGTTACTCCCTGTCATCTTCGTGATCTGAATCGGAGTCCTCACTCCATGGCTCGTCGTCAGACTCGATCAGTTCATCCAGCTCATCTGGATTTTCTATGTCTAAGTCCATGTCATCACTACCTGTGATGATGGTCTCATCACTGTCACTCTCCCCTTCCATGGAATCGGCATTGGTTGTTTTGAACAGGCTCGATGGAACTGCAGGTCCCTCATACCAGGCAGGTTGTAGAATATTGTCTTTGTTGTTCAACCCATAATCTGATGGTATCAAGCTGCTGCCAGGAGAAGCTTCGGTTGCCCTGGCTCCATTTCGCTGTAACATACTGTGATCGGCGTATCTTCATTTTGAGGGTTGGGCGACTTGGTGGCAATAGTGCACAGTCCACCCTTTTGATGTTGGCAAGCGGATTATCCTGAAAGGAAAATAGAGGGTTGGTTATAAGGTTCCTCCTTGGGTACTGTTGCAAAGCACATTATTATACATGTACATTTCAGTCTATTGTCAATTCACCTGGTAAACTTTTCCAGTCATTTCAAGCAACTTGAGGTAACGGGCTTCATTAACATCTCGTGTCTTGTGTTGGGCATACATGAGGCAGACGAATTCTGAAGCAACGTCAGTGTCAACATCCACAGTGATATCTCCCATACTGATGAACATCTCCACAGATTTTCTGGTGGCGTCTTTCTTCATGATGTCGAAGGGTTTGGCTTTACCTTTCCTAAGGAAGACAAATTTAATACAAATTATCATTGTAGCATTGAAACATGGGTGTCAGCTCTGATTAATTCTGATTCTTTGGTCAAATCTCTCAAATTGGGATTGTCAAGAGTATACCGATTCTGTCATCTCATGTTTGGACCTATTCAACACAGATAAAACGCTTAAACGTGGTTAGACCAATTCCTGATCAGTCCTATTGTTCCTGGTTCTCTGAACGAAGGGCCAACCAAATGTTAATTTCTCAATTTTTAAAGTTGCAATGCCTAGTGATTTTACTTTACCTGTAGAACGCAGACGTGAAATCGCATCCCGTAAAAGCATGGAACTCTGTGAGTGCTCTTTGTAATCCGGACTGGCATTCTTCCATGACTTCAGCAATATTTGAGACATTGATGAATCGCCTCGTATTCCCCATCCCACAGTCTAAGATTATGTTCGCCAGTGACCTCACTTCTGGACGTTGACTCCCAATAGCCCCTATGAGGATCACCAACACGTCTGTGTCTGAGGCTCTGACGATTATCTGTCCAGCTGTGACGTTGGCAGCATGGAAGGCTATTAGTGTGTCTGCCTCCTCATGGTCTCCTTGCAGGTGTGCTGGCTTGGTGACAGATATCACTTGCTGTTGGTCATCAGGAATATACTGGTAGCAGTCTCCTCCATACGACACAATAACTGTTTTCCCTCCAAAGATATTGCGGTAGTGCTCTTTTCACTATTCATGCAACAGAAACTTTCCCATTTCATCCTTGAAATTGCCATTCCTAAGGAGTTTCTGACCATTCTGCCGCATCTTCTGATCAGGTCCTGTGATTGTGTACTGGCAGTCAATTGCTCCACGCAACTTCCTTTCGCTGTCCTTGATGGAATTTATGACATATTTGTCAAGGCATACGTGTACCTCTGTGGCTCTCCCCTTACAAACAGTAGACAGGATTGACCGAGCAATGGATCTTTCAGTCTTTCAGTGGTCATTTCTGATAAAATGGGCCCTACTGATAAATTTGAGGCTAGTTTTAAGTTGTTACCCCATGAGCTGAGCTAGCTCAGCTGTAGAGCGTGGTACTTTGGGGTGTCTGGCTCAGACCCCCCACCAGTGAAAATGTCTGTCACTGCTCTTTTCTGTTAAAGTGGGCCCCACTGATAAATTTGAGGCTGGGTTTAAGTTGTTACCCCATGAGCTGAGCTAGCATGATTTTTTGGGCCTTTTTTTTAGCTCTGGCAGGGGTACCCCACTACGAAAAAATTCTTTCATTGATCATTTCTAATACACTTTATCACGCTTATTACATATTGTGTTGTTTTTCTTTGTTACTCATGAAAGCTAAGCTAGCTCAAATTTTCCATGTATTATCCTGCCCCTGAGGACCACACCCACCAGCAAGGGACTGGCAGACTTTCATTTCTTTGTGGGCTTGTGGGCTCCCGGTCTATTATGACCACAGAAACCTACACTGTATTTTGTATTAACTGAAAATATCAGTTATCACAATACTTTATATAATGTTATCATAAAACAGTTTTACATCACCCGCTGGCATATGTAATGACAACCTGTCACCATACTACAGAATCGACTTTCGAACAATGATGACACACAACAAGTACCATCGAAACTCATGGAAGCAGGTACTGTCCGGCTGGTGTCACGATCATTCTACATGTCACTGACATACCTCTCTCAGATTGCATTTATATTGGTACTAAAACAATACGGGCGATCGTTCAATGCTCTGAAACATTGATATGTCATTAACAATTAAGTATATCTCATACGTAATTCCTACTATATTAGTGATATGAAAATCATATTACACACATAAAATGTCCGATTTCTGTGGTCTTTGGAAAGGACGACACAGAAAAGAGCTGTATTATAGTCCGGAAACCAGTCGGAACACCAAGATTCAATCAAAATCATGCTGCAATCTCCCAGAAATCACAGTAATTAGGACTGTAATTGCGTGCTCATTATGATAATATTTAGTTAATATTGTAAATTGTTAATAGATATACTATATAAGTATGGAATATCGATCAGATAATGATAAGTGAAAGTATTTATCAGCGTAAACAGAATTCAAATTGCGTTAACTTGTATATGGGACGATGGGCTTGAGACAATAAGGGAGGTAACTCGCGCTTTATTTAAATCCGGACATGCCTACCATTTTCTTTTTTAATGTATACTCAAAACAATATGTCAGCGGCCTAATGTCAGCACACATAACAAGAGAGATGCAGGCACTGTGGAAGATCGATACTATGACCTATGTCACTCATTGAGCGCAGTATATAAATATTTGATCCTTCGCGTTTATTAAGAACAAAGAAGGTATTTGATACACATGTATTTTTGTATGTAGACAAGTGTACACACAAAAACACAGACGAACGCTCGTTGAACTTCTGTACAGCAACTTAGCTTTATAACTTCTTCCCAGTCTCATCTTTCACCGGTATACAACACAATATAAACAGGGTCTTATCTTAAAGGATAAAAATCCTCTGATTCCAACATGTGGTTATCTATATGCTGTTGAAAATATGAATTATTATTTTTGTCTTTATGAGTCAAAACTGTATTTTTAAAATCACACGGGATTGAAGATTCCAAAATATCTCTAACTGCATGCTTTCTAGTCTTTGTATACAAACTGACAAACAAATTCACTTTTTTCCCCTAGGCACCAGAACATCGATTATCATGTCTACAGGAACAGGATTTAATATAGACCGTCTGAGAAGTCCATACGAAAACAAGTCCGAGTGGGAAATGCGTAAGGAGTTCCTAGAAGCCCATCAAGGATCTTTCCCTGTACATCGTCTTCTTTGTTTATCAAATTGCTACATCAACTCCAGACTATATGGTTGTCGCTACCCTTTGGCCACAATGAAGGAACTTGAGGCCCTGTCTATCGGTCTCATACTAACAAACACTGACAAAATCATGGGGGTCCAAAAAGTTCAGTTTGTGAAAGAGAAAAAAGAGTCAAAAATGGCGAAAATTAATTTTGTCAAGGCATCAGAGGACATAACAGTGAAACAAGAGTGTGACAGAGTTTCTATTCAAATATTGGATAATGTGACAACAAAAAATAGTGTTACTGACAACAATTTTATCATTTCAACAAGTACCACAAAATCCAGCACTCTAAACACTACAGAACACAACACTATAAGTACAACAAAACCTGACATTCCGAGTACAACGAATCCCATCACTCCAAGTACAACAAAGCCCCAAACGCTAAACACAACAATACCCTGCATTGCTAGCACAATGATATCCAGCTCTCCAAGCACAACAACACTCAGCACTTCAAGTACAACAACAGCCAACACTGTAAGCTTAAAAACACTGTTAACTAGAACATCAGTGAAAAGTAATTTTGCCTCCCACTGTGAACCTAAGCCGGTGACACATCCTCCTCCAAAACTCAAACGAAACACACAGGCTGAGATTGCTTTATCAACAAAAAATGATATGGTTGATTGTATATCTGTTGATATGACACCTGTAGAACAACAAATATTTGATTTAGCCAAAGTGTTGGAAGAATTATTGAAAAAAGATGTCAATCATTTACCGAAAGATTTCCTTCCCATTGCTGCAATTAAAAATAAATCAGTTTTCACATACAAGTACAAGGAGCTGCCTGCACCAAAGGGACTACATAAATTTGTATGTTGTGTTACATTTGACTCAGTAGAATTAGCAGAAGGAGAGGGAGGCAGCAAAAAGAAAGCCAGACACAACAGTATAGAGGTGGCTGGCAATAAACTTTGTAAAAAATTCCTAAAAGTTGTTAAGCTTAATCCAGAGACACAAGTTCTAAAGACCTCAGATGATTACTTTCCATCAGCCTGGAGCTTACATGAAGAGATTCCATCCAACAATTCTGCAATGATTCACAAGGAATCAAATGCAGTAAATTTAGCAAGGTCTAAAAAACGAAAATTCTCAGAAACATCCAATGACCTTTCCAGGTTTCTTCTTATTGAACCTAAAGAAACGACTTCAACTGACAATGCAAAAGCCATCCTCCAGCGTAGTGCAGACTTTAACAAAGCTATTTTGGAATATGAATATCATGATGAGGGAACAGGGGTGCGATGTCGTGTGATACTTGAAGGACACGTCTTGGTGGACTGTTTTGGCACTGGTCGCTTAACAGTAAAAAATGCAGCAGCAGAAAAAGCATTGGAAGGGCTCAAACAAATGTGCTGGACAATCAAAGTGAAACAGGCAGTTGATTCAGACGAGGCAGGCTTGAGTCGTGATGAAATCTTTGGTGAAATTCAGGCACAGGTTAAAGCAATACCAGAAGACAACAAAGGGAGACAACTGCTAATGAAGATGGGCTGGACAGGTGGGGGTGTAGGAGCTGAAGGCAATAAGGGACTTGAAGTGCCAGTAGCAGAAGAATTATCTAAAAATCAGGTGATATGTCGTGCGGGGCTAGGATCCAGAAACTCCTCAGAAAAAGAATTTAGAAATAAAGTGGTAGAGGCATTGGAGATTTATACAAAATCGGGAAAACAGGAGGATTTGATGTTCACAGCAGATTTTACGAAAGATGAAAGAGCATACATCCATCAGCAAGCACAAAAGCTTGGGCTTAAAACTCAAAGTCGAGGCTCTGGTGAGGCTCGCTATCTGACTGTTAGCCGGAGACGGTCAGCGTTCCAATTATTTAATCATTTATTAGAAGAGGGTGGATCCACAGCCAAGTATGAGCTTGTAGCTCCAGGACAGAGCTCCAAAATTGAATCAATCGTCATCTCATGAGTAGAACAACAGAATGATATGTGTACATTTTATCAGTAGAGCACTTGTAGTGTGCTCTGTATCTAAATAATTCAAGGCAACATCTTGATATCACCTGAAGTTGATATAATTTTCTTACTGGAAAAAGTGCTTTTTGGAATGGACGGAGGTCTTCTTTATTACCATAATTTTTATCATGTTTTCATAGAATTATCATGGTGAAAACACTATAGACACATTTAATAGTTATATCTAAGTAATGTTTCAATGTCTCTTTAGTTTTATGTTAGGATGTCAGAAGGAGCAATTACTTATATATTTTCTTTTGTTTTTATGTCTTTTGTGTTTTATTTCCTTGCTTGTTTCGATAGACCACAAACAACACAGATATTGTGAAAAGGAAGATGACTGTGCACTTTTCTTTAAGTCCTTCAAATTTAGTTTTTAAATCACCTGATGTTGAGAACACCCTCATGAAACATTTAAAATCTAGATAACTTTATTCTGCTAAAAGAAATACATAATCATCTAAGTGTCGGGCAAGTTAAGTTACTGAAATTTCTGCATTGAACAGATGTAGCTTTGATTTCACCATGTTTCATTTTGAGATTGAAATAAACAATTTTTTTTTTGTAACACTCTTGTAGGTATGAACACAAATTTGTATCTGTACCGCATGAAGTTTTGTTATTGAGGACACGGATATTTTCACTTCCTTGTGCAATCATACTGGTTTTACTAGGAATAAAAACAATTAACAAAGGACAAGTGAATTTGTATTTCACTACATTTAAGATTTGTAGTTATCAGTGATCTGAATACTTAGGCATTTCCTTATGGTGTGATCAGACATCATTTCTGAAACAGTCCAACAACATATAAATGATGTGTTATTCAGGTCTGGACAATCAGGATCAAAAAGATTTGTACATGTATGGTTAACCCCAGGTATACAATTATGAGTGTTCATATGGACAAGCAAGATATTTAAATGTTATTATGAATATCCATGTGCATAGTTAAAATAGCATGAAGAAAGGTTTCAGTTTTAATTAGCAACTTAACATGCACATTTCTATATTCAAATCCCTACCAAATCGATTTTCTCTTGCCCTAATTCAGAGTGATCACTTTTTTTACTTTGTAACTCTGCCTGCAATAGACTGCTGGACTAGAGAGAACTTTTCTTGCTTGATTAGTTGAACTTAAGACTGGTAAGCCAGATGTTCCCTGTTCAAATCCTAGCAGAGGCATCAAAATAAAAAAGTGAACTCTGTAATAACTGTATTTTTCAACGAATGCATCAACATTTTACAAAAATGTTGAGTAGGAGTTGGTTCCAAAGTCAGGTTCAATGACAGTGGCTCTATATGTACCATATTTTAAGGAAATTGTCAACTGTCATCACTTTCGCAACAATAGATTTTGATGGATTTGTAAGTAAAGGTTAAGTAAAAGTATATATCAAAAGAGTTACACTTATGATCTTTAGAGTCAGGTTCAAATCACTTTTTTTAAGGAATACTTTAAAAAATTCTGTGTCAGAACTCCAGTAACTTCCTTTTCTTATGAATTAAAATGGAACAGTTTACAAAATAACTACATATAGAATAAACTTTTGATACGTTTTGTTCAGGAATCAATGGTCATTTCAAGGTTACTTATTCTATTTTTTTTTTAAATAGTTCATGATATGCAGATGTTGTTAAACCATACCACCATACTGGGTAGGACTTCTAATGTTAACCACAGTACATTGCTAGGTACTTGTATCAGTTATAACTGACCTATGTTCATCAGAGTTAATGTTTTCCTAAACAAAAGATGTGAAGTTTTACGTTATCCAGGTGAGCATTACAGGTCCTGTGTGCCTCTTGTTATCATTATACTTTCTATGATAATATATTTTGTTATTTTGCAATTATTTATTTCATAGAAGTTTTGATGGAAACATCTACGAGTTAATCCAGGGCACCATAAAGAACAAAATCTCAATTGTTTTCTATTTCTAATTTAATATAAAGATTATTATATTTATTTTCAATTATTATAGTCAAATAAATACTTCACTTTAGTAATTTTTAAGAATATAACAAATATTCATAGCTGAAAATTTTCAATTTTAGTTGTGCTGAAGTGTCCTACTTGGTAAATTGGGCAGATCTTACAAACAGATTCAGAAGATACACAAGATTGATATTTTTGATTTCCAATAATATAGAAAGGATAATTATGACTTGTTGTATTTTAAGTTACCAGACTGGGGACAAGCTAAAATGTCTCTACAGTATAGCAATAAACTCCTTGTTATCTGACCTCTGACTTTTTCTTTCTATCAATGCAAGACTACATTTAATTTGAATCTTAATATGATAAAAATTTGTATATAGTACTATATATACAGAAGATTCCCAAGGTATTTATATGTATCCTTCACTGATGATCATCACTGGTTCCATGAAAGACTGAATTTTTCTGTTACTTTTTGCATGTTAATTTCAAGTTCCATGTACAATAATATGTTCAACTTGATTAGTATTGTGTGAAATAGTTGAACAACTTCAAATTTCCAATTCAACACTTGTTTTTGTACATGTTGAATACCAGATGAAGCTCAGAATTCCTATCCTTACTGAACATGTATAGAAAGTTTCAATAGGTTTAACTTTCTCAAGTTTCAAGAAGATCCTTTCCATTATTTTGGGAAAATGATGATAACAAACCTCCAATTATATACAAATTCAACAAGATGGCCATTGGCAGCCATGTTTGAATTTGGATTTCGACCTGCAAAACAAAGTTCTTAACTGAATGTACATGTATTTCTAAAGATGTAGCAATCGTCAACTTCAAATGTCAGAATTCAATAAAGCCACTGGTGTTACATCGTAATCATCAATCAATTCTTGGTTACAAAAAAAAAAGACAACCATTTCCAGTTTTTAAATAATTTATTTAACTTATTCCAGTGATTGTCATCTCCTTTCCTTCATCTCATTATCTCCCTTTATAATTTAACTCTCCTTGGAACAGTTACGATTGGTCATTCTCACAGGCTGTTCCTATAGATACAGTATATCCACAATTTCTATTGGTCAAAGTAATGGGATGAAATACCCTACTAAGTCCTCTTCACCAAAGTCACAGGTGCATTTTGAGTTCACAAATGACATGAATGGTTAGCACTGTCCAAATATTCTGTCGGAGAAATAATAGGAACTTTATCTGTCAATGTCAAAGATATCTTTATAACTTTCTAGCTTTTCTATCTGAATTAGATACATATTTATACTTTAATCGGGTGGTATCTCAAAAAATGTTTTAGATAATAATTACTGGTCGAGTAACTGCATCCCCATCTAACGTTCATGTCTACAGTTTTAGACATAGTTGTTTCCTTTTGATAATCCTACACAACTCCCATTTAGCACACACAGACTGAGGTATAGGAGAGATGTTACACACTTCTAGAGCAGAAATTATTGATAATATATGGAATTCAAATGGCTTCTTTTAAATACTTTGACTCAAATTCAGTCTACATTGAAACTGTATGAAATTGCTGCTTATAATTACTTTGACACAATGTTTTTCTAAAGAAGTCACCCTGTGACATCAGTTAGAGGTCCAATATGAGTACTTCAGGTTTGGGCTGTTTTTGTGGAGATCACACATCAAGGGGAGATAATCATTGAGGACACATTACAGTTAAAAAATCATAATCAAACAATGCTTCATTAAATAATTACATTACACGATTTCCTTCCTGTACATATGTAAATATATTTACAGGACGACTTGCATAATTATCACTTAGTTTACACATCAATTTCAATGTCAAACATAAACCCACATTGTACAGTATCAGATTGTGAACAGTCCAGTCCTACTCAAGGTATGAGTCTACAACATGTTCTTAAATGTATGATTATGATGTTAATAACAGCAAGTGGTATATATATCTTATAAATCAATATTGCTTACAAACCAATATATTTATAATAATCAACCCATTTCCATCGCTCACTAATTTGAGGCAAATTGAATAATTAAATAATTGTCTAATCCATATCAACAAAATTAAAATTAACACTTTGCACAGATAACAAGGAATTAAGAAAAATACCAGAAAAAACGAAATGAAAATAGACCACATTTATAGTTAATTATATGTAATTATATGTAACGTTTCTTGTCAATACGACTAATGGGAGAAAACATGCAGTTTTTTCGGATATCTTATTGAGAACATATACAGGTAATACATAAACAGAAAAGGGGAGTATTCCTTTTTAAAATGCTGACATGAAAAAATGTAAAAATGATGTTGTAAAAAAGTTAATTGACTTAGGACATGGATAAAGTATAAATGGCAAAAGTTTGATTAAAAAGATTGAATCTGTATAGTAATGATTGTATACATCCATGATAAATACAAAACACTGGGCACATTCTAACTGGTACCAAACAGGTACCTATCATACTGAATGAAATGTTAAAAAACTTATCTTTTGACTTCTCAGCAACATAAAAAGGAGCTATTATTTACAAGAAAGACTTCTTTTTAATATAAAACAAAGATTATGATTCAATTAATAACCTACAAGTATAAAATATCACAATTTACACTACCCTGTATGTTTAATTAGTGAAAGCTAAGAATGGTACAAATGACAATGCCTTTTAAAAAAACAATTTTGAAGAAAGAACCAAATTGCAAAAAGTAATTGCGTATATATGATGACAAATAGCAACTACTTGTAATGTCATAAATCATATACAACTGGAGAGGACTTAATAGGCTCTGCCTCATGTCCCTCCCTTTGTCTAATATGTATTTATTTGTCAATAAAATTGTCTGAAAATTGAAATTTATCATTTACAATATCATGTCTAACAGCCTGTATATGAATATGTTGTTGGGGTTGTGAGTGTGTGGATATTTTCAGGATAAGACTGTACCTGTAACCAAAAATGACACCAAAACAACAAAAAATTTTTTATATAATATATATAGTAGGCAAGTTGTATGAAGAATCACACTTGTTCCTGAATAACATGCTCTATAATCAATGCCAGCAAAGAAAAAACATAAGGAGTATCTCACAATGCTGATAATGGTTATGATACCATGAAGTTTACCATGATAATAGACAGCATTACAGAACTTTTTTTCATGAAATTTTCTTCAGAAAACATCTGCTTTGAAAAACTTTCTTTATTTGAAAATTGTTACTGTTGCCCATTGTTGTGTTTTGTTGCTGCACATCTTTCATCACTTTGTAATTTCCAGATACTTATTTTCCACCCTATATTGAATAATAACTGTCCTTTAAAAGAAAAAAGGTTACAAAAAACAAAAAAACAAGAAAAAAAACCACCAAAATTTGAGTGAAATTTATCAGCTTTTAATAGGACATAGGCAAAAATGATTATAAAATAGTTTCACAACTTATGTTTTTAAGTAATTTGACCTATGATTTTGAGTACCAGTTAAGGAGGCATCCTACCTTTCACATTCTATATGCTCTGTGACACTGATAAAGAAAAGAAATATACTAACTTACACATTAAACCTGAGATTTTTACTTGTAGTTGATGATTCATGCTTATACATTAAGCTAATGAATTATAATTTATGTTAAGGAGAGATGGCACCTTTCACAATGTAACTGTACTTAGTGTTAGAGTTAAGGTTATATGCTACCTGACACAAACTTATCTCTAACTTGCATTAAATTTGAGCAGATACAAATTTATGTTCACTTTTATATTTTAAGCAACTTCATGTAATGTATTTTGAATTCATCATTGGTATACAAAGGTAAAAAAAGGAACTTTTCCATTACAAATTTAAGTATCAACCAAAAAATGCAATTCAAAAGTGTGTATTAACTTATGTTCTGGTTATACCTGAGATTTATGTTACAGTTTGAGGGTTATTGCAAATTTATGAATACATTTAAACTTAGATATGGAAACATTAAATGTAAGATTTGATTTAGAATTATTTGTTATGTTACATACTGATCTATAATCCTATTCCTTTTTTTTTTGTTATTCTTTAATTCAGTGGTTGATCCATTGGATGCTGTAGGTTGGGTTGTTCTTTTCAATTAAGCATGCTTTTAGGAGGCTGTGGGAAAAGTCCCCTCCCCCCTCCTCCTCCTCAAATTTTTTTTTTCAAACTCAAAATTCATGGATCCTCCCCACTATTGCAAATGGAGCATTATCTAACTAATACAGAACAATTAAGTTTTGAAAAGCAATCCATAGTTTTCTACCCTTGGTCACTTGTACAAAGGTATATAACTCTACATGTTATAGGGTCTAGAGTCTAACTTCAGCACACAACATTCCTTCATTCAAAACTGTACTTATCTTAATAACTTGAGATATCCTGTGGCAAGGGTATACAAGAACCTTGCCAGTACACATCCTAACTCTGTATCAAAGGAGACATAAGACACGCTACTATTCCAGGGCTCCTGAAAAACTGTTATTGGTGTATAGATTACATGTATGAGGTATGCCCCTAACAGAAAAAGTCATATATACTGAACAAAGGGCCATAACTATGTACAAATTAGGTTGCAACAATTTAAATGATATACTAGGTAATGCATGGACCAGTAGACTGCAAAGCTATGCTGCATAACTCCTTCCAATAACATTAATGGAAAAACATTGATATATTTAGACTTTTCAAATCTACTGATTATTGCTTTTCATTTCTGAAACTCTTTTGAAAATTAATAAAATCAAGGTCACAGATAGCATACAACTTAAATGATCAGACTAGCAACCATTTACACACTGAAACATCCTCAATAAAAATCAATAACAAGAATTAGTCAAGAGTATTTCACACTAAGTCAGATGAAATAAATAAAACAGGAAACACAAATAAAAATATCACAACTTTTCAAAAAAAGAAATATTCTTAACACAGGCATGGCAGGTTATTGTCAAAGGCGGTATATATGTCAATCATTTTGGTCTCCAAGGTGATGTCATAGCAACATAAAAATAAACATCCTTAACTCCTCTCAGTTCTATTATCCTGGTTGTTGACTGGTTGTGTCATACAATGTCAGTGCTTGTATAATGGTAGGGTCCTTCTTAGACCCATCTAGGAACTCATCAAACGAAAGTTTGTCATCTTTGTTCTGAAAAAAAAAATTATATATATATCAACTGAACAAGTTAAATAAGAATGTGATTTTCTAGGCACTAATGATGAAGAAATCATTGAGTCAAAACTGTAAATACCATCCTTCTCTATCAATTGTAGGAAACCTAAACTAATGATAAAGAAATCATTGAGTCAATACTGACAGTATCACCCTGCTGTATCTATTGTAATGGAGACCTGTACTGATGGAGAAATCATTGAGTCAATACTGACAGTATCACCCTGCTGTATCTATTGTAATGGAGACCTGTACTGATGATAAAGAAATCATTGAGTCAATACACACAGTACCACCCTGCTGTATCTATTGTAATGGAGACCTGTACACATTGAGTCAATACACACAGTATCACCCTGCTGTATCTATTGTAATGGAGACCTGTACTGATGATGGAGAAATCATTGAGTCAATACTGACAGTACCACCCTGCTGTATCTATTGTAATGGAGACCTGTACTGATGATGGAGAAATCATTGAGTCAATACTGACAGTACCACCCTGCTGTATCTATTGTAATGGAGACCTGTACTGATGATAAAGAAATCATTGAGTCAATACACACAGTACCACCCTGCTGTATCTATTGTAATGGAGACCTGTACTGATGATGGAGAAATCATTGAGTCAATACTGACAGTACCACCCTGCTGTATCTATTGTAATGGAGACCTGTACTGATGATGGAGAAATCATTGAGTCAACACAGTACCACCCTGCTGTATCTATTGTAATGGAGACCTGTACTGATGATAAAGAAATCATTGAGTCAATACACACAGTACCACCCTGATGTATCTATTGTAATGGAGACTTGTACTAATGATGGAGAAATCATTGAGTCAATACACACAGTACCACCCTGCTGTATCTATTGTAATGGAGACCTGTACTAATGATAAAGAAATCATTGAGTCAATACTGACAGTGCCACCCTGCTGTATCTATTGTAATGGAGACCTGTACTGATGATGGAGAAATCATTGAGTCAATACACACAGTACCACCCTGCTGTATCTATTGTAATGGAGACCTGTACTGATGATAGAGGAAATCATTGAGTCAATACACACAGTACCACCCTGCTGTATCTATTGTAATGGAGACCTGTACTAATGATGGAGAAATCATTGAGTCAATACACACAGTATCACCCTGCTGTATCTATTGTAATGGAGACCTGTACTGATGATGGAGAAATCATTGAGTCAATACTGACAGTACCACCCTGGAGTATCTATTGTAATGGAGACCTGTACTAATGATGGAGAAATCATTGAGTCAATACACACAGTACCACCCTGATGTATCTATTGTAGTGGAGACTTGTTCTGATGATGGAGAAATCATTGAGTCAATACACACAGTATCACCCTGCTGTTTCTATTGTAAAGGAGACTTGTACTAATGATGGAGAAATCATTGAGTCAATACACACAGTACCACCCTGCTGTATCTATTGTAATGGAGACTTGTACTAATGATGGAGAAATCATTGAGTCAATACACACAGTATCACCCTGCTGTATATATTGTAATGGAGACTTGTACTAATGATGGAGAAATCATTGAGTCAATACACACAGTACCACCCTGCTGTATCTATTGTAATGGAGACTTGTACTAATGATGGAGAAATCATTGAGTCAATAATGACAATACCACCCTGCTGTATCTATTGTAATGGAGACTTGTACTGATGATGGAGAAATCATTGAGTCAATACACACAGTACCACCCTGCTGTATCTATTGTAATGGAGACCTGTACTGATGATGGAGAAATCATTGAGTCAATACACACAGTACCACCCTGCTGTATCTATTGTAATGGAGACTTGTACTGATGATGGAGAAATCATTGAGTCAATACACACAGTACCACCCTGCTGTATCTATTGTAATGGAGACCTGTACTGATGATGGAGAAATCATTGAGTCAATACACACAGTACCACCCTGCTGTATCTATTGAAATGGAGACCTGTACTAATGATGGAGAAATCATTGAGTCAATAATGACAATACCACCCTGCTGTATCTATTGCAATGGAGACCTGTACTAATGATGGAGAAATCATTGAGTCAATAATGACAATACCACCCTGCTGTATCTATTGCAATGGAGACCTGTATATTTTTTACCTTATCCATGATTTCAAATATTTTATTGACTCGTTTTTCTGGCGTGTTTTCTTCTTCTGGAAGTTTGACAGAATTTCCCTGCAAAATAAGCATATCTTCAGTTACAAATGGTATTCCTAATATGATATCTACCTTAGCTAATGAACAGATGTCCCTAAATGATGGATGGCTGAGGTTAAGAATGGACCCCTCGTGATCTATTATATTATACATGTATAATGGACTGATACAACCATAGATGACACCATAGCTATGTTTTAACTGAGAACAAATAAAATAAAAAGTTCTTTGACATGACATGGAAAGTTTTCAACTTTTCTCCTTTACATATATACACATTACAACTGTACATAAGATTTCAGCAATAAATGAAATATGAGAGCATGTCTACTACTATACTACATAAAGGAAAACACTTACCACCATTTTATATATTGCATCCACAATGTCCAGTAACTCGTCTCGTGTGATGAATCCATCACTGTCAAGATCATACAGCTTAAAAGCCCCTTTGGAAAAGAGATGAAAAGTCAAGTTTTTAAATTCATATGAAGGCATCTAGACACTTTTTTGAACACTCACAAGCAGATTGCATCAAGCTCTGATAAATAGCTGCATCAACCAACAGCACATCAACTCTTCTTGCAAGCATGATATCACCCTAGTGAATATTTACACACATGTCTAGGTGTCTCAGTAATATGAAAAAGGAAAGATTCTAAAGAGGCAATGAGAGGTCCATTAAGAATTCATCAAAACATTAACAGACTTTGATTCTCTCCAGATCTTCATACTACTACAGAGTTACATCCCTTCCACAGAATTATTTTGCTGAGGTAATTTGCAAGTTTGTTTGCAAGTACCTCTTGGGACTGCAGAGGAAAATGGTTCTTCATTCTGTTTTTGAACCTGAGTGTGGTCGCAGGTTAAGGTCTATTGATATCTGGCAATATTCTTCCTTTCTGTGTATATATTGATAACAAGTTAGTCAAAATATTAATCTAAAATAGCAGGAGGTTGATAAAAGGTCATTTTTGTCCTGCTAAAATATAAAAGAAATGATCCATACCTCGAGCTCTGTTTGCTTTTAATGTCAAGAAAAGAATACCGAACAATCAAATTGGCTGTAAAATCTTGGCATACCCCCTTTTTTTTTAAATAGGGAAGCCATTTATTTTTAACCTAGCTTAATTAACATGTACATATAAAAATTTCATAATAACATATTTGGAGCAAAGGTGAGCGAAACTACGCCATACTGGCCTAGGAAGCCAGACGCCACAAAAGGTCTTTTTCCTTCTTCAGCACAGATAATACACATATTCTACAGGTAGTCACCTTAAATGTATGCAGAGGCAGACAATGTTGACTTTACTTTGAATATATATACAATATGTACACAGAATAGTCGAGTGTCTGTGTGACAACTGTTTATCACTTGATGATCACTTTCATTCCTTAAAGTGCTTTATATATATATATATATATATGTATTGACCTTTAACTACATCTATATCATTGAACTTTACATGACTAGAATGATATAAAGTCACAATTAAGTCCATCAAAGAGCTTTAATAATTAACTCAATACAAGTTTAAGAATCAATAATTTCCCAATATCCTGTTAAGCTGTTGTGTATATTGTGAAAGTGGACACCATTTCCTATTGGTTTTTCCTTTACAGTTTAATCTTAAGTAAGAATACATTACACAAGTTAACTGGAATCTACCCCAGGAGAACCTCATTCCATTATCAAACCCAACATGCCTGGTTGATTACCTTCCCCAGAGTAAACACATATCTTCTGTAATTAAGAACCAAGGTTTTATGATTTGACAAATTGTTTTTGGCTATGAAGCTACAGGTTTACTACCTCTACCTGGTAGGTAGAAATAACAAGACATGACAGGTCAGAATTCACTCTTATTATGCAAAATAAAATAAAGGGTATCAACTTGATGTGAAGTTAGCAAGCTCTGTATTTTTATAAAGTGTTGGCTACAAACAGAATACAAACTTTACTGTGCTTGAGGACACTAACATATTTTATATCTACAAATGCTTGCTTTGTTAATCACAACATATTTTAGTATCTACTAATGGTTGTGTTGTTAATTACAACATATTTTTTATATCTACTAATGGTTGTGTTGTTAATTACAACATATTTTTTAAATCTACTAACGGTTGTGTTGTTAATAACAACATATCTTTTATATCTACTAATGGTTGTGTTGTTAATTACAACATATTTTTCATATCTTCTAATGGTTGTGTTGTTAATAACAACATATTTTTTATATCTACTAATGGTTGTGTTGTTAATTACAACATATTTTTTATATCTACTTAAGGTTGTGTTGTTAATTATAACATATTTTTTAGATATGGACAGAAAGACATGCCTGTTTTGTTAACTCCAACATATTTTTACATCTACTAATGGTTTTGTTGTTAATCACAACATATTTTATATCTACTAATGGTTTTGTTGTTAATCACAACACATTTTGTATCTACTAATGGTTTTGTTGTTAATCACAACATATTTTATATCTACTAATGGTTGTTTTGTTGATCACAGCATATTTCAGTATCAACTAATGGTTGTTTTGTTAATCCTATTTATAGAAGCCCCATGTTTGTATGAGTATAATGAGAAAAGAAATAAAACAACCAGTAAGTGGCTAATATTGCCTTGAATGTTATGAAAATATTAAATATCAAACAGGCAAATGAGCGATTTGGAGGAAACTTACATTGTAATTTTTCTTGCACACTCCCTCTTGAAGTCACGGACAATGCTTGGAGAAACTCCTGGAATTCTATAAATCCATCCTGTCAACAGTTCACCAACACACCATTGAAACATCCAATTTAAGAATTTAAACAAATCTTTTACATTAAATTTTCCAGAAATTTATTTCCACCATACATTACACCTTGTTTTCTGTTCTTTATAGCGAGGTCAATAAAACACCAGCTGTATTTATAACAAAAGACAAGAAACCCCAGAAGGATATTGGTGCCAACCATTATTTGATCTTTATTTGTTCTTTACAACTTGGATCGTTCCCTGTCTTTTTTCTTTCCTTTGTGTTTTCTCATAATTGCTACATAAAATTTGACATTTCCCCTGAAGAAATAGAGATGATAAATATATCTGTTGAGTACTTCTCCAGAAGTAGCTATAAATAACAATCTATGACTGTCCAAAACCAAAATGGTGACCTGCTAGCTATGTTATTTTTTTGATCAGGCCCAAAATGGACTCTGCATAACATGGGATCAAGGCAAATCTACATTAGAAATCAGAAAATGATTCATCCAATATTTTTCCAGAAATAGTAAAAACAAAAATTGTTCAAGGACAGTTGCCAGATGTACCAATACTGAACACAGGGTGATCTGAACAGCTCAACATCTGATGATGGTGGGCTAAAAAAGTACCAGATAATTAATACCAACAGATTCAAAATAATGACTTCAAGACCAATTCAACAGGTGTTTCAGTTCTTTTTTATACAAACCAAATCTATATTATGTAATCCTAGCAGCAATTTACTTTAAAGCTTTGTAGTTCTTGCATGTCTCTTTTTTGGTGAACTTACCCGATTTTCATCAAAGACGTTAAACACAAAGGAGGCAAATTTACTTGGATCACCGAAGGGAAAAAACTGCTTGTAAATTTTTGTGAAACCCTGAAAGTAGGAATTTAAATGATTAGATTAAATGGAAATATAATTTGGAATGAATTCCACCATAACAGAATTGAAGCTGTCTCTTTTTCTCCAGGAAACATTAGCTATAATGCATTTTAAGTTTTTATATATGATTTGTAATAGGTACTCTATGTCTTAATCTATATGAAGTATCAATAAAAATTATTAATAAATTTTAAAAGAACCAAACACTGTTGCAGATATAATGTTAAAATTATTGCTTTTTCGAGGGAATTTAAAAAAAAAAAATGTTAGGATGTATTTGATAAGCCGTATCTGCTGTTTCAGAAGATAACCAGCCAACAGTATATCATTGGTCTGTAATTAGTCCATATCTCTTGCTTTAAGTCAGAGGTACAGGGCTTTTTCTAGAGGCTCTATGGGGATAAATTTCGGCCCTTTTTCCAATTGGATTTATCTAATATAGCAAAATTCTCAAAATATAAGAGTTTATTGCTAAACATTTCCTTCACAATTGATCAATTTTCTGCCCAAAAAATAGTGGAAAAAAGCCCTGGGATTATGTGTCTAGTCCTGGGCTTATTAGGTGATAAATATTGTTAATATGTATATTCATTGGTGGCTTAACCTCGATAAGCAGCTGTGTTCTTGGTACTTCTATAAGAAGATGTTTTCTTGGTACTTCTATAAGCAGCTGTGTTCTTGGTACTTCTATAAGAAGATGTGTTCTTGGTACTTCTATAAGCAGCTGTGTTCTTGGTACTTCTATAAGCAGCTGTGTTCTTGGTACTTCTATAAGAAGATGTGTTCTTGGTACTTCTCTAAGAAGATGTTTTCTTGGTACTTCTATAAGCAGCTGTGTTCTTGGTACTTCTATAAGATGTGTTCTTGGTACTTCTATAAGCAGCTGTGTTCTTGGTACTTCTATAAGAAGATGTGTTCTTGGTACTTCTATAAGAAGATGTGTTCTTGGTACTTCTATAAGAAGATGTGTTCTTGGTACTTCTATAAGATGTGTTCTTGGTACTTCTATAAGAAGATGTGTTCTTGGTACTTCTATAAGAAGATGTGTTCTTGGTACTTCTATAAGCAGCTGTGTTCTTGGTACTTCTATAAGAAGATGTGTTCTTGGTACTTCTATAAGAAGATGTGTTCTTGGTACTTCTATAAGAAGATGTGTTCTTTCTATAAGAAGATGTGTTCTACTTCTATAAGAAGATGTGTTCTTGGTACTTCTATAAGAAGATGTGTTCTTGTACTTCTATGAAGATGTGTTCTTGGTACTTCTATAAGAAGATGTGTTCTTGGTACTTCTATAAGAAGATGTGTTCTTGGTACTTCTATAAGAAGATGTGTTCTTGGTACTTCTATAAGAAGATGTGTTCTTGGTACTTCTATAAGAAGATGTGTTCTTGGTACTTCTATAAGAAGATGTGTTCTTGGTACTTCTATAAGAAGATGTGTTCTTGGTACTTCTATAAGAAGATGTGTTCTTGGTACTTCTATAAGAAGATGTGTTTGGAAATGAAATATACTTACATCTAATGTCAGTTTGCCATCTGGACAGTCCTTCATGAATCCTTTGTACCTGTAAAATACAAAAACCTTCATCATCATTCCAATTATCACACATCATCATTCCAATTATCACACATCATCATTCCAATTATCACACATCATCATTCTAAATATCACATATCATCATTCCAAATATCACACATCATCATTCCAAATATCATACATCATCATTCCAAATATCACACATCATCATTCTAAATATCACACATCATCATTCTAAATATCACACCTCATCATTCTAAATATCACACCTCATCATTCCAATTATCACACATCATCATTCTAAATATCACACATCATCATTCCAATTATCACACATCATCATTCTAAATATCACACATCATCATTCTAAATATCACACCTCATCATTCTAAATATCACACCTCATCATTCCAAATATCACACATCATCATTCCAAATATCACACATCATCATTCTAAATATCACACATCATCATTCTAAGTAATTATCACACATCATCATTCTAAATATCACACATCATCATTCCAATTATCACACATCATCATTCCAAATATCACACATCATCATTCCAATTATCACACATCATCATTCCAAATATCACACATCATCATTCTAAATATCACACATCATCATTCTAAATATCACACATCATCATTCTAAATATCACACCTCATCATTCCAAATATCACACCTCATCATTCCAAATATCACACATCATCATTCCAAATATATCACACATCATCATCATTCTAAATATCACACATCATCATTCCAATTATCACACATCATCATTCTAAATATCACACCTCATCATTCCAATTATCACACATCATCATTCTAAAAATCACACCTCATCATTCCAATTATCACACCTCATCATTCCAAATATCACACATCATCATTCCAATTATCACACATCATCATTCCAAATATCACACATGTGACTGGGGATTTATAAGGTACTTTCTATTTTTGTATACTTTTGCTCACACTGTTCTGACAATGGAAGAAATGAGCTTGTAAGGTAACAGTATACACCATGGTCATCGTAAGTACACCACATTATAACCAAAACAAAAGAAAGAAAAAGATGACCGGTGACATCAACGTAACAACAAATAGTAAACATACTTAAATTGGTGCAACCAAATTATAGAGCAAAACAACTTTTGAACAAATCAGAGCAATGATGAATTCATGCATTTACAATAATTGCTATGTAAGCAGCAGAGAGAAACTGCAATTAGCGTAATCACATTTTAGCACAACACTTTCAGCATGAAAAATGCTAAAATAATATTACTGTTAAAATATGTATATTTGCATTAACTCTGTTTCCTTGTTTTTGTTAAACAAACCAATTGTTTTAAGTATTTACATCAAACCCAAAAGTTTGGCATCTTTGGGCATCATTATAAATCACTGCATAATGCATACTCACCATTGTTGAATTTCCTCTTCGGTAACTGTCAAATAAAATAAATAGCATTTCATTAACAAGTTGTGAAACCATATGAATCCTATTATCTGTTTTTGAGCTAAGGAGAAAAACCAAGTTGTTGATAAGGAATTTTCTGATAAAAGACAACTTCACAGAAGTCATTAACAAACTTGTGTTGCAATTCAGATGTACTGCCCACGACTTGACTACTGCCTATAAACAAACCCTTTCTTTGGGTAAATGGCCAAGAATCTGCATTTTGTTGATGTCTCCGAGGTACCTTATCACTACAGAGGATGTTAGACCTATAGTGACCTTGTAATGGTCAAATAATTTGCCAACACTCTGTAAACGACACACCCATCAAGCAGAATCTACCTATATATACATGAGCTTCACTGTATAAAGTGGTTCCAATAGTAAATGGAAAATACAAATGATGCCAATGTTAAACTTTACTTTTGTCTATAGTAATTGCTTTAGTTTTTTCATGTTGTAATTGAACAGGAAGTACTCTATCTGACAGTTAGCCCAGTAAACAGGCACACCCATGTCAAGTGTGCTTAGCTAAATCACCAACAAATCTACTTTTTCATCTTGTAATAAGCCCACAACCTGACTCTGAGTCGAATTCATTCCTCGACTTCTGGAAGATTATATAAGGTTATAAAAAAAAGGATATAGAACAGAAAATCCATGCTTTGCTAAATCTTCCTGATGTATTTGGCAAAAGTTTAATGCAACATAGGTAGTGAGTATTTTTTTTTTGGTATGACTCCAATCTCAATAATTTCCAGTTTAATGGGTTACAGGTATGATGACACCGCCACTAATATTTAAAACAGGGCGTGAATTCCAGCCTTCAGCTGGAGTCTGCATCCACATGTGTATATCTCGTTATTTCTACAAAACCTTAAATTTGTTTATCATCCTTAAGATCATATATTTTAACACAAAAACTGATTGAAATCCAGGGTTATCTACAAATAACATGTATAACAATCTAAATTGCACATGTCTTGCCTTCTTTTTGTTCAATTAGGAATGTGTAGAATTACCAAAATATTCTAAAACATCCTGGACATGTGAAATCGGGAGGAACTGCTTATAAGAGATCGTTTCCTGTGAGGTTGGTCGGTAAACAACATGCAGGAGGCATCTCACCAACTATTCAAAATGTCCTGCTCAGGAACACAATAATGACAATGCAGGACAGCCAGTGATTTTTGCTTCCTCAAAAACACAAACCTCCCTGATCTAACAACATGCCTTGGCTCTTCCCCTGAGAAACACAAACCTCTTTGATCTAACAACACGCCTTGGCTCTTCATCTGGGAAACACAAACCTTCCAGATATAATCACACACCTCGACTTGTCACCTGAGAAACACAAACCTCCCTGATATAATCACACATCTTGATTCATCACCTGAGAAACACAGATAAAACAACACACCCCAGCACTTTACCAGAGGTTGGGGTAACAAACTAGCCTTTCACCTTGACCACCAGGATTTAATTCGCTTGATCAATGTGCGTACTCCAGTTTCCTCCACAGTAAGACCACACATGTGTTTCCATCTGAGCCAACAAGAGTGGAATTCATTTAAGTTAATATAACTTTTTTTTGTCATAAAATAAATAAAATTTATATCAAAGAAAATATAACATTCAATGTTTAATTTCAGCTTAGTTAAAGCATAGTTCTAGATAATGATTCTACCTTTCACAGTGCGAGATACACTTTTCTTAAAAGTTATATTTCTTCTGTTCAAACTGCAGAAATATACTACACTGTTATCGGTCAAACTTACAACTCAAAGATGATCACACTGCCTAACAATGGCAAAATTTGCATGGACATGTACTGAAATTACAAGTATCAGGTAAACACACTGTCTAGATTTCTAGTAATCTTTATACTTTGGGCAGAATAAAGAATTTAAGTTGTTTTGTAATTTAACAAGTTTGGATTATTTTGAGATTTTGACTGCCATTATGTTGTGAAGTTTTCCATTTTAGGAAAATCATTCTTTTATATTTAGTTTTATTTTATCAACTAACATGATTTCAACAAAGGAATGCCTGTTTAACACATTACATACAGTGTATTATGTATAATAGTTATGTCATTGCATTGCTAATATGCTGTCAGTATTAGTTATATCATAGGAACCGAGGGGCAGGGCTACATACTGGAGAAATAAGCTCCCCCCCCCCCCTCAAGTGTGATTATTGACATATTGCATGGCCTAGGATGTAACTGACTTTCTGCATAAAGTGTCACATGCAAATGTTAAACAGTTGATGATGTTCCGAACTGGAGTACAGCAGTTGACACTTACAATAGAATGTGTGCTGTACAAACAAATTACTGGACCCTCCAAACTTATGGGTGCTGCAAGTGATAATTGTGGTTTTGATATTAATCTTACTAATGTGAACATGCATTCAGATAAGGACAAGGTTACATTTGTCGATGTTTCGAATTTGGTCAAAAATGTGTTTCACAACTGTTATCTGTCTTTTAATTACAAGATGGAGTAGCTCATGCTGAAAGATGAAAAATCACAGAATATCTGTAAAAGTGATATCTGTTGAATTGTCTGCAACAATGTCACTGAATAAAATGCATTTGAACTTTCTGTATTTGTAATTTTAGTTATTTCCCAAGGTGTTGATATCCTATCAGCTCATTCATTGGCCATATTCAACTTTCATTGGCTGACCAATAAGAATTGAGAATTCTATTGTACTGAGGAGAGTCACTGCGTTAAATTAGTTGGTCATACCGTAGCAAGAAATGATCAGTATGGATTACAGAAAGTATAGACAGTGAAAAACCAAACAGTACATAGAGTGGAGATAGAAATGAAAAGAAGAATTACACATGCATGGACACCAAAAAAAATCAAGATCACCATCAATACCATACTAACTACTAACCATTAACCCAAGAATGGCGGATGGGACTTGAGGCGGTGGCCTGTGTGAGAGTGTTCAACTTGCACAATAAAAACCCCTCTATGACTTTTCGGAAAAAGAGGAGGCGTGATAACGCCTGCCCAGAGGTCAGAGTTTGGTTAGCATTGGGGAAATATTTATTACTTATTTATTATTTATATAAAAGGGTAAGTAATTTTGACGGACCTCCAAAATACTATCAACATATTGGAATTTACCTAGTGTAGAAATCCCTTACTCTCCCTCTCAGTCCTGACACCAGTTCTCTTGCTGCGTCGTGCTTACTGTTAAGCTAGGTCTACAATTAGGATGGGGGAGGGCCGCCTTCTTAATTATAGTTTTAGATCAGGTCAAATAGCATAGACGGCACCCTCTACCTCATCTCTGTATCCCACTCTCTCCTGTCACTTCCTATTTTCCCCCTCCTACTCTTTTTCCTATTTTTTCTCTTCCGCTGAAAGACCAACAGGTTGTTATAGTGAATGTAAAACCCATTAAAATAAAATGAAATCAATAACATAGCAAGATCAAAGGAAAAGTGACAAGTCTATGTGACAAGAATAAAGGTAAAGTTCAGATTCAATAATATTTCATTCAAGGAAAATACAGATTTATTGTAATATCATTCAATTTTTGTGGGAATCAATATTTGTAAATAAATAAATGAAAAAAAAACATCTTGTGGAGACTTCAGTTAATGGATTAATATAGCTAACTAAATCTGCTTATATTTTATTTTAATCACCCCGAACATACTCGTAGCACCAAGATCAATGCAGACAGATTGATCGCTATGACAGCTGACATCACAAAAAAATCTGTCATCCCCAAATTATCAACATAGTTTATTTCAGCCTTTTATTTAATATACATATGATTGACTTGTAGAGGTAAGAGATCATACAATCAGTGATATTCTTTGTAAAACTTACAAATTTCTACAATTTTTTGCTTTGAAAATGGTTTCTTAAATAGAAACATCAGGACTAATGGTGATACAAAGTATGAAGTATAACATGTACCAATATTGTGAAATTCAACAGGATTATCAGAGAACTCTGATGATCTTCGTCACAAACAAACACCTCATAATTCTTCCTCATAATGTTCATAAAGAAAACCTCATAATCTGTCAAGATTTTGTATCGTTTCCCTATAATGACATCATCATTATGATACAACAGTCTTTCTACAAAAGTGTGTTTTTAAGATAGGGATTTCTCCATTGTGTAGCCCTATATACCTTGAAAATAGACTGTGCTGTCTGTATCTCTGACAGAACTGTGAACTATTGTGTAGTTATGGGGTAATGACTGAGGTTCAATGTTTAAATAGCTGGAAGTGAATACATTTTGGATTAAGTCAAAGTAAAAAGTAAAAGAATCCAGGTAAATTGATCTAGTCAATGTAAGTTATCATTATATATACCTGGTAGTCCTTTGTGAAAAACACATGATCATCTGCTCAATAGGTAACATAACTTTGACTCCCCACTCTAAACAGTTTATATTATCAAACTAATGTTATCAGTTACAGTCAACTGAGACTAAAAAGGCCTGGATATTGTGTTATCTACATTTACGGTTACTTCTGAATCCATGAAAGGGACATCATTCAAGTTAAATCAGCCATTACAACATAAAAAAACCACAGGGTAATAACTCAATTTCTACTGAAGTCATAGAAAAAATCTACAAAGCGTTGCCTGCTTCACTTGTTCATGAACTTACTAGTTTATTACTACCTGTATACATGTATTTCTGATACCAAACCATCCAGCTAATATCAATCTGCTGTAACAGCAAAACTTAGGGAAGGCTGCAATGGAGCCAGTTCTTCAAGGCTTAAGTTGATATATTAATGTCAAAAAAAAAAAAAAAAAAAATCATCTATCCATTGTTTATTTCAAAACAAGAGGCCTAAGGGGCCTGTATTTGTAACCTAACTATTCAGCTAATCAGTCATTTAACAAAAAATTGCAGGTATGAAAAAGAATTCCTGAAATAGTTTCCCTATTGGGCCCCAGCCATGTGGTCAAACAAAAGTCAGATTCATTATCCA